GTAATTAATAAATTATAAAATGTTCAGTTTTTATAGCTAAGGATTGCAAATTTAAAACAAAGGTTCCCATAAATAGTTCATACTGTAACCAAAAAATCTAAAAAATCACAATCGGAACACAGTTATTTTTTACAGACATTTTAAATTCAAATTTGGACGAAATTACATAATAAAAAACCTAGAATAACTATTTTAGTTATTTTGTTGTGATTGTATAATTTTATTCGTGGGTACCTACTTGAAACTTCTAAAGTATACTACTATATATCTATGATAGTATCAGGGTTTGTTGTTGGTGTATAACGCGCTATAAGTACCTAATGGATATTGTGATATGATTAATTTGGAATTCATTATAAGTCAATTTTTTTAATACCATAGATAAGTAGGTATATAATATGTCTTATACCTAGAAGGACATACCGTCTCCGCTCAGAATTGTTTTTCTTATACAATGATATTATATCATTGAATTCAAATGTAATACCATCCATTATACAGTGACCCACTTGTAACCTACTGTACAGCAGAGCGACACCCACTTGCCCACCTTTTTTATACACGATCCTCCACACTTATTAAGATCGGTCTAATTAAAAAAAATATACTTTTACAAATAAATAAATAGTACAATTATTATTACATAATATTATGTAGATTAGCGGATTGCGGTTAGTGATTTTTGATTTTTAAAACAATTATTATGATGATTTTCTTAGTAATATGAATATTAACTAGGTACAAAATTATGATTTTTGAATAACGAGATAGCAAAATATACTGTAGCTGTAGTATATATATAACAGGTTGGGTTTGTACTTAATTAACTCATAATAATTCTTGTATTGAAAAATTAACATCCAGTAACAAAGCTGACAATAGTGCTTCATTCAACATTGATAATACAACATAAAGGAATATAATGGTTACCTATCTTTTGTACCCTTTTGCGAAAACACTTGAATTTACAAAGCATATAACCAGGCCTTGCATTTGAAAAAAAAATTCATGTTAAAAATTTATGTTTTTTTATGTTTTACGTTATTTAGAATTAAAGCGTTATGCAAGTTTTGCGTTTATCGTTATTTAAGTTTTGCAGTTATCGTTATTTAGAATAGTGTTAATACCTATAATTAAACTCTTATTAATAATAACTAATGCGGGTAGGTGATGACCCGGATCGGAGTATAATATAAATTATAATCAATTCTAATGTCCGTATGTATGAAATAAATATTTCTACGAAACCAATATAACTTTTAAATAAATGGATTTTTAATTATTCCGTTTTGCATTATTTTTCGTTTAATAATATCCTATAAATTACGTTTTGCGTTATTTTTTGTTTAATGATATATTGATATATATTTTGTTAATCGGTATGTTTTGTTTTGAGGTACCTACCTATTTAATTATTTTTGATTATCACTTTCCGTTATAATTACGTTTCCAAATTTCAATAGGTTTTTGTCAAATATAAAGTTTGCAAGCCCTATATTTCTAACTAGATCTACATTCTACAGTTATTCGTTTTTTTGAATTACAAAAAATAAGAAAATCACTACATGAGATATCGAGTGAATATCCAATCTTGTAAAAATATGAACTTCAAACCCTTAAAAAAAATTTAATGTGATTTTCTTATTAATGTATAATTTATTATATAAAGATGTTAAAATATGGTTTTTTATTTTTTGTTTGTATAATACCGTATAGAGCCTAAGGTACCCTAAATTATCAGAAATTCAGAAATTGAACACAGGATCTTAAAACAATTGTATATTATGAGATATAACTAATTTTTAAACGGCTTATATATAAATCTCGTGTCACAATGTTTGTCCTCAATGGACTCCTAAACCACTTAACCGATTTTGATGAAATTTTTTACACCGCGTGTAATTTGGTCAAACTTAAAAGATAGGCTAATTTAAAAAGGGAGAGGACCAACCCCGGGAGGTGCTCAAACGGGAATTTTGAGATTTCCGATGGACATTTTTGTTTATAAATGGTTGCCATGGGTTTTTAAGCTATTACAATAATAAAAATAAAACTTCCTTTCTATTTCTAAATTGAATTTATAATTATTTATTACATTGGACTTAGTTAATAGTGCGTCTTATTACATTTTATGATATATTTTTATACTTGCAAAGTTGCAAAATGGCACCAAAACGTAAATGTATACATAAATGTTCCATAAATGGATGTAAAAATTCTGAAGATCAAACATACATCTGACACTTACAATTAATATTAAAACTAGAGGAGGATTAATTTATTCAAACATGTTTTTATTCAATTTGCTGATAAATATAGAGGAATCATTTAAACAATTTTGTAATGATTACGATGTCTTTCAACTGACGGTGGATGATTTCATTAACAAAAAAGGTGGGCAAGTGGGTGTCGCTCTGCTGTACAGTAGGTTACAAGTGGGTCACTGTATAATGGATGGTATTAAATTTGAATTCAATGATATAATATCATTGTATAAGAAAAACGATTCTGAACGAACGGTATGTCAGTCTATGTATAAGACATATTATATACATATCTATGGTATTAAACAAAAAATTGACCTATAATAGAATAAATTCCAAATTAATCATATCACAATATCCATTAGATACTTATAACACTTTATACATCAACAAAAACCGTGATACTATCATAGATATATAATAGTACACTTTAGAAGTTTCAAGTACCAACGAATAATATTATTCAATCACAACAAAATAACTAAAATAGTTATTCTAGGTTTTTTATTATGTAATTTCGTCCAAATTTGAATTTAAAATGTCTGTATAATTTATTAATTACAATGATTGATAATTTTCGAGATTTTGATAAATTTTGTCGAAATTTGATCTTTAAATGCTTATAAAAAAAAACTGTGCCTATGTATTTTTAATATTTTTCAACTGCTATTGTAACAATATATCAGGAGCCATGTATTAAATTTTTACACTTTTTGGCCCAACAGATAAAACTTTATTGATATTTATAGAAAAAAAAAACTAAAAAAAATTGAAAGCTGTAAATGTCCATAAACAGCTCAAAAAGAGTCAAAATATTTTCAAAATTGTATGGTGTATAGAAAATGCTAATTTAAACATTGAGTGAAATTTTCATGTATCTACAGTTGTTCGTTTTTGAATTGCAACAAAATAAGGAAATCGCTACATGAGTAATCGAGTGAATATGTATATCAATAATATTAATAATATTAATATATTAAAATATGTATATCAATAATATTAATAATATCAATATCCAATGTTGTAAAAATTTGAATTTCAAACAATCATAAAAATTTAACTTGACTGTCCGGTAGAGATTTTTTTATTGATAAAGGTAGATAATCTTATAAGGAATCTTGTGTTTCATTTTCAAATCTTAGATTTAAAAGAAAAATTTTTACGAATTCTTAACTCAAAATAATTTGCTAATTTTCGTGATTTTTCCATATTTTGTAAATTTTTGAACTTTAAATGCTTATAAAAAAAAATTGTGACTAAGGATTTTTAATATTTTTCATCTGCCTTTGAAACAACATAATTAGGAGCCTTCTATTAAATTTTCAAGCTTTCGCAACCAACAAATAAAATTTTATTGATATTTCTAGAAAAAAAACTAAAAAAAAATGAAAAATGAAAATGTCCCTAAACAGTTCAAAATAAATCAAAATATTTTGAAAATGTTATCGTGTATAGAAAATGCAAATATAAACAACCAGTGAAAATTGCATGTATCTACGGTCATTTGTTTTAAAGTTACACCAAAAACCAAATTCGATTTTTTGGAAAATTGATTTTGCGTAAAAATTCTCGTTTTTCCTTAATTTGTATGTTGTTTTTCCCGGCGCTTGTGAAAACTACTGGAAAATGTTTACTTTTGACCCCCAAAGTACCAACTAGATTCACTTTCCTATCAGAAAAGGTACTATTGAAGAAAATCGAAGCCCTTTTACTGTCCCAAAACGTGATGACAGACACAAAAAAAAATATAAAAATATAAAAATATAAAAACACACATCATTGTAAAACCAATACATTCATCGCTCCGCTCAGAATCTAAAAGAATTCAAAACTTGTTAATACATAGGTTCCTAATTAATAATGTACCTAATATGTTTGGTTGATAAATAAATCACGAATTATTTAAACATTAAAATAAATTTGTTTAATACATTTATATTGTATATTGATTACCGTACGTTTTAAAAACCAGAATCTTTTTCCCTGTGGCCTTTATACAATTTCAAGAAAATATTTAAAATTCCCAACAAATTGTTGAAATTAAAATTAATGTTAAATAAATGAAAATAAACACGGACTGATAGTACTATCTTAAAAAAATAGTAATGGTTTGATTTTAGTCCGTGGTAGCGCTAAATTCGCAGTTGCTGTAATCTCCACGTAGCACTTTTTGCCACGAGCCTACTCCAAACCTTTAGCGGCCCGGTACCGCATCACACGCCCACCATTTCGTTTCCAGTCCATACTATCTTAGTCCGTGCATACCATTAAAATAAAACATGCACGATGGATTACGTTTTGTATTTTTAATTTTTACAAACCTAGTTCTAATTTTAAACGTTTCAGGAAGCTATTTTAATACTTTCTTACAGGTATTTTCCTAAGATTATTATAAATATTTATTTTTAAACGTCCAACAGTCCTAAATACAAGTTATTACTTATTATATTACCTGCTGCTTTTAGTTGGTATTCAAATGTTATTAGTACCAGTTACCCAACTGTACAGAACATAAGGTTAATTTTTTACTGGACGTCAGGACACCATCACTATAATATTGTTATGCCTATTATATATTTTTGTTATCACCAAGCATTTTTATTTTTATTAATTTTATTATTGTTTGATATTTACTATTTATATATTTGAAGGTAAATTGCAATTAAAGGATTGCTCCATTATCCGAACCCTGAAGATTAAATTAAAATAATCAATTGTCATTATTATTCGTGCATCATGGGACGCAAGAAAATTATTATATTCAAAATCACGGACGACCGAACCCGTTTTGTAGGTAGTATTATAATTTCACAATTTCTACATATATTTTTTAATGTTAATTATAATTTTAATGTTAATCACATTTTATAGGTGAAGTTTAAGAAACGCAATTTTGGTGTTATGAAGAAAGCTTATGAGTTAAGCGTATTATGTGATTGAGAAGTAGCAATTATTATTTTCAACAAGAACAACCAATTTTACCAGTATGCTAGTACAAACATGGACCATATATTGCTTAAATATACTGAACATAGCAAACCACATGAATCACTGACAAACACTAATATTATTCCTGTAAAATCAAAATTAATTGTTCATTTTTAAATTTATTTAATATTTATTAATTGCATTTTAAAATTTTAGCAATTAAACAGGAGAGGAGGAGGAGGAGAAGGTCCTAGAAGTTCTGAATCTGTTGATTCACATAGCGAACCACATGAATCACCAACGAACACTAATATTATTCCTGTAAAATCAAAATTAATTATTCTTTTTTAAATTTATTTAATATTTATTAATTGCATTTTGAAATTTTAGCAATTAAACAAGAGAAGAATTGGAGGAGAAAGTCCTAGAAGTTCTGAATCTGTAGATTCACCTGTTGTCAATGAGAAGAATGCAATAAATCAATCCAAACAATTTAAAGTAATATCCACTCCTAGAATTAAACTTAAACACAACAGTATATCTGATGAAGAATTCAGAATAATTATGACACGTCATGGAGGGAAGACAATGGATGTAAATATTTATAACTTGTAATAAGTATATTATAGTTTACATAATTTCAACTACTTTCTATTATTCATGACTCGTGTATAGTAAATAATAAATATAAGTTTTTAATATTTTTATGAACATTTTAATTATCTAATTTTTATTCAATTATTATAGGATGATAATGAGGACAACGACGATGATCATCATGATAGTAATGGCCTTGAATGTGAGTTTATTCCTGACATGCCAGACATTCCTCTCATTCCTTCTCGCAAACTTGTAGAAGCTTTAAGAGAAATACGAAAGAATAGCTCTAATGAAAATGCTGAACTAGTTACTTCCAGCGACTCAGATATGAGTACGAATCGTTAATGTGTATTTTAATTGCAAATTAACTGACACAAGTATTAATAATTCATTTTTAGGTGATGACGAGTTGAAAATAGACAGTGGTGCTGATGATGATGATGATGATGATGAAGAAATAGATAACTGTTTACTTATTAATATCGAAAGCTATATTTCTTCAACTACCTCACATCAACAAACTCTGCCTAATAAAACAACAAGTATTATTATACATAATATTTCATAGAATAATTATAAAAATTAAATATGTAGCATATCTATAATTTTTGAATTCATTTTTAAAACATCTGGTCAAGGATGTCACATCATCAAACTTTTGAATGTTGAAGGAAAAATTTTATCAATAGAGATTTTATGTTGATGATTAGGTATAAACTTATTTCATGCTTCGTAGATTTTGAACATAATATAAATTGTATTTTGAATTTTTTGTTTTTTAACACATTTAGGTACTTTATTCAACATTAATTGGTGTAATTTAACATTGTTCATATAGTATGTTGAATGATACCAATAGGAACGTAGGCACCCTGTTATTCAATGCACTATAATTGATCAGTGTTACGATTAAACTATTAGATATTTGTCAGTGTCTCCTATAAGTATAAATTTCAATTTTTAAACTTTTTTTTTTACCTAATTTTTTCAGAACAGGAAACAGTATATTCAAACACGTTATAATCATTTTTTGGAAAAAAAATACGTACATTTTTATTATTATATGTAGAGAACTTTGTTGTGATTAGATTTATTTACTGCTTACAATTCATGTTTGCTTTTACAGAATACGCCCATATAGAAGCTTATTGAATATTATATTTATAGATCCAAAACACATGATTAAATTGACTATTGAAATAGATGTATAGATCAACGTATTAAATGTTAAGTATGATTTCCCTGTAGACCTAGGCCACCTAGCATTAACTGCTATACTTTATTCCAAATAAGTTTGGTAAAAATCTCAACGGAAACGCATGTATAGTCTTGTTGGCTGCCAATTGCTGCATCGAATCACAGAGGTCCTATCGCTCAGAGGATGCACAGTTTTTCCAAACTCATTTGGAATAGAGTATAGTCCAGACATGATTAGTGTCTAATTCCATTGTTAGACACTTTAGGGAAACCTTATCTCAAAGGAATCAAATTACCATGAAACATCCAATTTTTGACCAATATTGTATATTAAACTAGTCTTAAAATTATATTTTTGATTTTTCTGCTGAAGATGACGTTTTATATAAGGTATGCACAATCTGAATCTGTATGGTGTCCAGTCTAAGGCAACATAGGATCATTTATCTTCAACTCCTCATAATCCTTTGAACAATGTGAATTGAAAAATGGGACCAGTACCACATTTCTCAAAAAATAAAAACAAATAATTTAAATACAACATATTTTATGTTATGAGGCCTTTTAACTTTTCAATGATTAAAATTTTAGCTGTTGGTGAAATTGAAGTCGAAAAAAATGATGATGACGTTGGTGTAGAATTAATTGAAAATGACATAAAAGTTCATGAAGAAGTGAAGAGCTCTAAAACACCAGAAGTTACAAAACCACAATTAACGCAAAATGTTCAGCAACCACAATTCCTGTCAAATATTTACTCAAGTATTGTACATTAAATACATTTTATTAAAAACTAAAATTAATTTTGTTTATTAATTAGGATCAAGCTTAACTCAAAATAAATCTCCGAAAAATCAATCTTTGAATGTACGGTACAGACCTTATAATATTCTACAAACACCACAAACTCCACCACAAAAATCTATGGAAATTCAAAATAACATAACACACAATAGTCAGTTGTGAATACAGCAACAAAGAGTTGATAAACAACATGTACAGGTCAAAAAAGATTTAATGTCTCCTGAAGTTAAAATCAACAATGCAAAATTGTCGCAAAGTAGTAGTCATACAAATGATTCTTAAAAGCGAGTACATTTGAAAATTGAAACATTCCAAATGTTTTTACTTTTTTTTTTATAATTTTTTTTTTTTAAGACTACTTTTGTAACAATTATTGGTATTTGTTTATATTTATTATATATACTTATCATATAATACAATTTTAATATGTAGCAATTCGAATCATTTGTTCTAACTTCTTATTTATAAAAATGTAATCATTTTAATTTTTAATATTAACCTACAATTGAATATGAAATATTATTTGGTTAAAATGTTATACGTGCCAAATGTTTTTGTTCGGTCTAGATAGTATGTGTCATTGAATAGTTTTAAGGATATATATATGTGCCACTTTTAAAAACAAAACTATAAGTTTTATATATTATTGAATTTTAAACTAATTTTTAGCTTTTGTTCACAATTTTTACAGTTGTCGTTTTATGTATTAAAATGTATGTTACGTTTTAGTATTATTAATTATTATCATTTAGAAATATTTTTACATTATTGTTTACATATTTAGTTAAATGTCTGCTAAATGCAACTTATTTCTATAATATATGTTTATATATTTTACCTTAAAATATATCGTAAACCGTATTTTATAATAATATTAATTTACAACAAAATTACTGTGCATTGAAAAAAAACGAAAATAAATTTAAAAAAGTAAGCATGACATGTACGTTTTGTTCAAGTCCAAATGTGTATCAAATTATGTGTTTGTGAGCATTTAATATTGTATTTACTAATTAATAATAAACTATTTATTTCATATTTATCTTAATGCTTAAGCTTTAACTAAATTAATAAAATTTAATTAATTTAACACTTAAAAAAAACATATAATTTGAAAACATTGAATACTGCAAAATAAATTTAATAACACAGGTATTGTGGCGGTGGTGTAGCAATTTTTAGGTACAAAATTGTTAATATCATCTTACAATTATTATTTGCTACGCTTCCAGTATCCACAGCAACTGCTGAAAGGTTATTTTCTACCTTTAAGGGATCAAAAAAATACATGTGCTCTAAAAGGACTGAGTCTAGACTGAACAGCTTAGCAGTTAGGTCTATTAAATGTTCATTTAGATATTGATTTATACTCCTTTTCAAAAGAGAATATACCGGTCGGCGACTAATTTATGCCCGGCGGCGCACATTCCCCACCAATTCCCCACTGTTTGCTTGATCACGTGGTTCTCGACGCACCAATCAAATCATTTGACATGCTCAAGGCGGTATATTCTCTTTTAAAAAGGATACAGTATAGTTATCAATGCGATTACTAGAAATTAGAAAAGAAGAATGCAATTAGAGGACTAATACATTTAACTACAAACTATTTAAACATCAATAGGTACATTGTATTTTTATAGGTATACTTATTAAAAATTAAAATATAATAAAATGTTTATTTAATCTTTAGATACAATTATGTATGTCTATTAATGATTATATTATTAAGATGAATTTCTTATGTAATACGTCAATGCACATATACATGCACATTGCAAAACTGATTTTCCTGCAGTTTAAACTCCAAATTATAAATTTTTTTAGCTTGTAGGTAAATTTTACATTTTACTTAAACATTTCTTATGATTCATGTAATTTAGTTATATTGAATGTTGGTATCAAAATGTGTTATGTGATGTAAATAACTAATAAGGTAAATCTAGAGCGAATTGGGCGACTTTATGATACCTAGTTGGTTGAAGTTTCTGCACAGTGCCCTCTTTTAAGTAAGGCAGACCCACCGTTATAAAATCCTGGGTAAGCCACTGTATCTACTCCTAATTACAGTGTATAACAAAATATAATAATATATTAATGTCTATTAGGTATAATGAAAATAATGTCATCAATTATCATATTTTGTTAATTGGGTAAAAGGGGCCAATATAGGCAATTTTATATACAGATACTCAATTAAAATGAAATTTTTGTTTACTTAGTTATTGAAAAAAATATTTTAAATAAAAATAATTAAATGTCTGAATATGACTTATTCCCAAGTATTAATTATATATGAAAAAAATGTAATGGTTTTAAAAATAAAATAATAAAATATACACTGGACTATAGGTACTGATGCTTTAATACTAATAATTATAATTAAAACAAATTAATTTCAGTACAATAATGTTTATATTTTTTATAAAAAGGTACACATAATATAATAAAATATAACTTTACTTATTTTGATAGGTATTTGTTGGCAGAAAAAAACATAAGTACTTTTCTATGAGAAGTTAATACTGATGACCCAAAAATTGATGTGGGGCCTGTTTATAACTATAATATAATAATATGTATATATTAATAAATAATAACTTATTATATGCAACCTGCCAACATTGAATTACATAATATTATTACATAATTTATGGTTTTAGTTTTTACTAAAGTTTACAAATATTTTACAATTAGCAATACAAGATTATTAAGAAAAACTAGTTTATGTAAATAATTACCTAAATCAATAACTTAAAAGCTTTTATATTTCATATTATGATTGCTAATGTCTGATAGTTAATTTATATCTGTTGTGCTCAATATAATATACATATACCTACCAATATACATTATACAGGTTGTAACAGGAAGAGCATAATTTTTTGGTGCCGCTTATGAGGACGATAAGGTGCTGGACGCGAATAAAATTGGTTTCTCATCCCACTCTATTAAATTACCAAGAACTGCACCAACACCGTAGCTTGTGCTGTCATTTGCAACTACTAGAGATAAATCTGGATTATACGTGATTAATAATTGACCTATTATTAACGCCTGTTTTACAATTCCAAATACTAACGCCTCCCCGTCATTCGTCTGACCAATTCCAAATTACCTATTTAATTTTTAGCTAAATTGTACAAGGGAGCTAATACTATAGATGAAGACATTGGAATAAAAAGTTGATAATACATAATGAGTTGAATTAATGAATTGATTTTAATTGCACTACATATTATTATTATAGAAGTCTGTGTATTATTATACCTTTATTATTATATTATTATCAACATTTTGTAAATTATAATAAAGAACTATTAATTGCAACCATGTGAACCATGGTTTGGTTTTTAGGATGTTACCAATTCAAATATCGAACGTTATAAATTATAATAATATTATAATTATTGGAGTTATGTACCTACTTAAAATGTTTATTATTTTGCTTACCTAAATCTGAGTTTGTGAGATGTTGACGTAAGTATTTTATCAACATCAATTAAATTCATTTTGAATTTTCGAAGGAAGTTTTGGAAATAATAATTTATCCATGACCTATCTACCATGTTTCAGTATATAAATTAGTAAATACAAAACTAAATAGTTCGACTTAGCTTTGGTTTTCGTGAGGCATACACAGTACCTATTATACTACCTACCTATTATTAATGTTTTATTTTATAGAATTTGTGTAATTATTTTTAGGTACATTATTGACAATAATCTATCAAAGAAGAAAAATAAACTATTGAATTAACAAAGATGAACTCATATGTTACTACTACATACAATAGTCACATTCAAACAGTCATAACATAAATCACGTAAGTTTTGTATTATACCCCGTTACTATTCAATTTATTCATTAACGATATTGTCTTCTCTATTAAATACTCAAATATTCTTCTATTAGCTGATGACGCAAACATTTTTAAATGTATAAGCAATACTGCTGATGCTGAGTTACTTCAATATGATTTATCAATTTTCAAAATTGGCGCATCTCAAATGGCATGTCCCTTAACATTTATAAATATCAGTGTATCACTTTTTCCAAAAAACATGATTTAATTTTCCATGAATATATTAATTATGTTCTCTAACCAAAATGTTTTTCGTTCAATTCAAGTTAAAGATCTCGGAATAATCTTCGATTCTAAACTTTTATTTAATCTCCATATATTAGCTGTAAAAAAGAAGCCCTGTCTTTAATTGCCATGATTAAACGAAATTGCTCTAGCTTTAATGGCCCATTTACACTATTTTAGTGTATAGGCATTTTGCCTATATACTTCAACTGTTCGTCCTACATTTGAATATGCACCAATTATTTGGGAAACATTTAACATAGGCCATTGCGAACAATTAGAAAAAATTCAAAATAATATGCTTCGTTTTATCTGCTTTAAATGCAATCTATACAGACCACCTCATTCTGGATATGAAAATATTCTAAACTTTTTAAATTTAAAACGATTAAAGGATAGATAAAAAACAATTTTATGTAATCTTCTTGTTCAAACTCCTTAATAATAAAATAGACGATTCTTTCCTTTCATCATTTTAAAAACAAACAATCCTAACACTCGTAATAAAGAATTATTTTATATAAAACCATACACACAAAATTATATGTCTTGTACACCTATAAATATTTTATTGTCTAGTGTTAATTCAGTAAATAATTTAGATTTTTTTTCTCTATCACTTAATATAATAATAAATATCTTAATACTTATCAGTTATCATTATAAACTTGTATATTTCATCTTTATTTCTCTTTATTGTATAATTAATTTAATATGTTATCTTGTATATACTTATCTTTAATATTATTAGTAATTTTTTTTATTTAATTTATACACTATATATTATGTAAATTGGACTAACGTCTGTTAAATAAATAAATAAATTATTCTCAAATATGAATCTGAACTAACATATGAGATAGGTACCTACATTAAAAACATTGGTACTATTTATTCATCTTCCAAAGTATCATAACATTTTTCCATCTTAATCATACAGTTAGGTTTAGGTTGTTTATCAGAGATTTTATAATAATTATTGACTGTTTCTACAAATTCATAAAAGCAATTTACTATAACAAATAAATATAGACTAACAACATACATTGACATATGATTAGGAATTTTGAC